GCGTTTGGAACATTCTACCCAATATCCTCAGAGACACTACAAGATCTACAGCTTCCTTTAAAAGTTTACTATTTAGATACTACTTTAACCTTCTCGAACACGTCTACAACCCAGACAATCCTAGAACCTTTAAATCGGTGTGCGTCAAATGCCACTCTACTCGTTCTATTCAAAATTTATCTTTCAGATCATGTTGTTGACAGTTTGGCGAAAGCCAATTAATGTTTTTGTGCATGTATAGTAATTTGTATTTTTTGTCGGAACCCCGTTATTGGAGTTTATCTCTGTGGTCAGTCCCAGCCAATGCACTCGTAGATATTTGAATAAGTTTAATATTTGTTTGGTGCGGTGAATCTTGTAAAATAAAATAAAATAAATAAATAAAATAAAATAAATCTGTACACTTGCGCGGCTGTGGTATTAATAAAATTACTATAGTGTAACATAGGTTACAAATGCAGCCAAATATCTACATACACTGATACACTTTGTAAGTCTAAATTGGTATATAATTTTTTTTAACTCAATATAAGCGCTCCTGTTTCAATGCATAAAGCAGACAAACAACTCATGATCTGGCAGTAAATATTACACTCATAATTTGTATCTCAGAAAGATGCTAGAAAAAGATATACAACTCCAACTCCTGCTTTCTTGAGATAGCAGGAGTTCGACTTTGGAAAATAGCATGAGCATGCGCAGGGCTTCTTGTATTAAATATTGTAGCAACTCGTGACTTTGGCAGATAGCAGGAGTGACACAGGTCGCATGCAAATCAATGTATTACCTGGAAATGAGCTTTTGCAGAGTTGCAGTTGCTAGGTAACAGGGCTGTAAAATTGTGTAAATGTAATAGAAAGCAGAAAATAAAAATTTTGAACAAGACCAGAAAAATTACAATGACTTTTTAAGTTCAAGATTGGACACTTTGAAAGATTGGACAGTTTTCTGAGGTCATACCTACAGTACAGGTAGCATTCTTTCTATTGATTTGAATTTTCTTCTTTCTGTTGATTTGAATTTTCTTCTTTCTATTGATTTGAATTTTCTTCTGAATTTCTCCTTTTATCTATTAAATTTTTACAATTATCTTTTTTTCTTTCTTAGGGAAATATTTTCCGGGAACTCAAAAAATTTCTGGGACCAATGGTAGGGGCATTTGACATTTTCAATATTTCTGTGTTAATAGGCCCCGCTGTGAAGCAGCACTTTGTGGTCAATCGTAGTCAAATGCCCCCCACCCCTGAGTGAGAAGAAAACTACAAAGATGTTATAATCTGCTCAAACAATTTATTTATATAATATAGCATTTGTAAATTCTGAACGCTATAAATTGGCTAAGAGCCGTTCCCGTCGCTCTTGGATTCAATTGTAATCATTTTCTCCTTTCTTATTATTTATTTCCTAGTCTATTAAATTATGTACTAAAAAGACAAAAGTTAACAAGATTTTATTTTAAAAAGCCGCAAATAAAGTGATACTATTCATGAATTCACCTTGTAATTTCACACGCCATGATGTCGGCCTCACTTGCGAAAATGATAGGAGACTGGTAACAAGAATGTCAAAACGCCCGACCCTGGGAGCTTCCTTGATGTCAAATAAAATAAAATCCCCGACCCAAGAAGCAGGGAAATCAGGTCAATACCCTGTGTATCCCCGCCCTCCCTAGGGTCGGGCATAACATTGACTGGTGCATTACACTTGCAAACAGTATTTTTGCCAAACAAGTTGCCAAAATTAAACAAAGTGAATATTAGCAATATATCAACTCCAAGTTACCTTCAACAATTCTATTGAATAAACCTCATATTTCATTCAAATTACTTTGATTATGCTCATTGTAATGGCAGCCATGGTGGTGTTTTTAAAATTGCAGTCAGAATAAAAGTTGGCTTAATTTTCTGTACATATTGAAATTCTATCCAGGTTAGGTATTTCTAGATCAGTGGTATTACACCATGTTAAGTTGCTGTATATCAAATATGTATAGACTAATGCAAATATGGATAGACTAATTCTGCCTGGCTATTTACACCTGGAAAAACAAACGCACTAGCAAGATCTGAAGTTCATCAATGATCGCAGGCATGGGTGACCAATGGTGGGTGGTCATCCTCACTGATCTCAAAACTATGGCGGACTGTCATAAATAGCAAACACTGATTGGTCCAATTTATTTAAAATTTGGATAATAAGACTGTATGATGACAGTCAAGAGTGAAATATCAAACATTTCTTGATTTGATGATTTCTTGCAAATATATTTTATTTTTGCAAGATTTTGTGAATTTCGAAAGCTTTTTGATAAAATAAAGGCAAAATAATCACTAAAAGAAGGGAATAAAGGCATTAACGAAGATAAAATTGATGCATTGTTTGCTTTATAATTGCTTTAAAAGCCGATCATTGCGCTGTATATTGAAATAAGATAGCATATAATTTCAGTGTATCTTTATTAATTACCCTTTTTTATTACATTTTTTTTAAATAAAAAAGAAAGTGAATTTATTAACTGCATGTGAGAATTTGAAATATTTTATTTCAAACCCAAAGTTTATCGATAAAGGCAGTTTAATTTTACAAGGAACATTCCTAGCGTTTGGTAAATTAATAATTTTGTAATTAAGTGATATTTTTGGAGGATTTTTCATTTTGGAAAAATATTCTTAAAAATTATCTTGTTACCATGACAACTACTGTAACTGTGGGACCTTGTGTACAGCATGTTTGTAACCTCAAGAAAATTGAAAAACTTTTACTCAAAAGAGAATGTTACTGTTATAGAAGGAAATCAATTTATACGAGAAACTTTAGTTGATATTTAGATGTGCGTGCTCGCCAAGAGAGGAAATTCAGTTAGTCTCTTTATTAATGTTATTGCTTTGTATTGTTATACTTTCGTAGCATATATTTCCTTATGTATTTTGAATGGTTTGTATTCTGTAGTTTTACATCAAGTTATCATGACTATTATATTAAAGAAACAAATCTACACATTGCAATGTGTTATCCGAATATTCCTGGCTACATATTTGAGCATGCACCTACCCCTTTAGCATAGGGTGGTGCTGGGATGTTTACTGATGAAACATTAAATCATCATATTTTAAAACGTGTCTCAAATGAGGTGTTTCAGGCTGTGTGGATAGAGATATTATTTGAGAGAAGGAAAAATATTATATGTGGAATTATCTACAGACAACATAATTCGCCTGATCGTTTTAAATTATATTTCGAAGAGATATTAGAAAAATTCGTTTTCTTTGGGAAGCCAATTCTCATTATGGGTGATTTTAATATAGATCTAATGAAATGTGAGACATGTAATTATAGCCAAGAATTTTTGTTGCTGCTTCAAAGCTGCTATCTTATTCCAACTATTGATAAACCAACTTGTGTCCGTCCTAGCTCTGCTTCTCTCATTGACAATATCTTTGTTAATACCCCTAACCCAACGGTTTTCAACTGGTTTTCTCATGTGTCCCCGATTTCACATGATTGAATTACCACGTCCCCTGAACAGAAATTGCCCACTGAAGTCTATCAAAAACACGAATTTTGAAATAGTTAGTAAAATAGTAAATGATTTAAATTTTAAATAATAGATAGAAAATCAAGCAAACATGTTTATAGTACAAACTATTGTATTCAAACATTCTCAACTATTCTCAACAATCAGTTTACTTTCACGCGACACCCCATCAATCATCGAAATATTTCTAATTTTGTTGAACTCAATGTGACACTTGAGGATTTTTTGCATCTCGAACCAATTTCGAAATTTCTGGCTCGGTGGTAGACACACACCCCCTAAAATCGTGTTCTAGTTCGAGACGATTACGTGATTTTGTTTTCATTGCCGTCATCGTTGAGAACGACGATTCACATAAATACGTGGAAGGATATGGTAACAACTTTTTCAAAGCAATTTTAGCTAAATTGGGATAATCATGACGCATTGTGCACCAAAATGTTGACACATCTTTAGCACAGTTATCGGCACGCATTTCGATAAGCTCGGCTTCGGCGGGTTCATCATCGTCATCGAAATTTTCGACTGCATCAAAGGGGTTACAAATCAAAGCGAATTGCTCGGCATCGATATCAGGAAAATATCTATCGAATTCAGATTTCAAGGACAGAAGGTGTTCTTCAATAGGTTCTTTTAAATTAGCCACTTCAAAGTTTTCACTCTCAATGAATTCAGACAAGCTCGGAAATAGTGCATATCTATCTGCTCGCACTTTTCGAATGAGCAAATCTATAACTCCTAGAAATCCCTCCAGTTTATCGTGAAACTCCATAATATTTGAACCTTTTCCCTGTAATGACCTGTTCAGAGTATTGAGTCTTTCAAAAATGTCACTAAGGTAGCTCAATTTAGCAAGCCATTCCTTGTCATTCAGTAGATTAGCCCAATCATCTTTCTTCTGCCCTTGAAGAAAATCTCTCATTTCAGTTCTCAGCTCATAAACACGTTGCATCATATTCCCACGAGACAGCCAACAGACTTCTGTGTAATACAGAAGGTTGATGTGGTCGGCATCCACACCTCTACAGAACTTTCTGAACAAGCGGGTATTTAAGGCACTCAACTTGATATGATTCACCATACGTATGACTTGTTGCATGACATTTTTCAGTATATCTGGAAGAGTTTTTGCTGCGAGAGCCTCGCGATGAATCATACAGTGGACACTAAACACGTTCGGGGCGACTTCGTTTATCTTTGCCTTAAACCCGGATCTTACTCCCAGCATGGCCGGTGCGCCATCAGTGCAACTACCGTAAACCGTATTCCAGTTTAGTTCTTTATCAGTGAAGAAATCGTCAACCATTTTGAACACATCTGCATCTTTAGTTGTCAACTCGAGTGGTTTACAAAGCATGAGATCATCTTTGAAGTCATCATCGTGTATGTACCGTACCCACACCACCAACTGACTGAGTGAGGCAACATCTGTAGATTCATCCAGTGCTATGGCAAGCATGGGCGATTACGTCATCTGAGTAACAAGCTGAGTTTCGATATTCTCGGACATTGCCTGGATTCGTCGCTGAATAGTATTGTCTGAAACAGGCAAGCCGCTGATTTTCTTAACGGCGTCCTCGCCAATGAGTAATCTGACAATGTCCTTGGTACATGGCATGATCAAATTTTCGGCGATTGTATGAGGCTTCTTGGCCTTAGCAATTCTGTAAGCCACATGGAACGACGCTTCTAGAAGCTTTTCTTGGATTCGTTGTACATGTCCTGTCTGATCAAGACGACTTGCTTTCATTGCCACAGCCTTACGCTCGAAATAGTCTTTACTTCTATTTGGGAAGGCAGGATGTTTAAGGTTCAGATGTCGCTGCAAAATATTACGCTTCATCGATGAGGCAGCGAATACTTCACCGCAGATAACACATTGTGGCTTCTCTACACCATGGTCGTTGATTGATGTAAATCCAACTTCTATAAAACTATCCAAATATGTCCGCACTTTACCAGTTGCCATTTTCGCGTCATCGTTGGCGAAAATAAAATGAAAAAGTTCGCGAAATCACTTCCGCGAAGAAAACGGAAGTGAAAATGAAACTCAATACCAGGAAATAATGTCGAATACCAGGAAATAATGGAATTTTTTTTCTCAGTCCTAGACCAGTTTGTGTCCCCTAGGAATTTGCCAAATGTCCCCTCTCGGGGACATGTCCCCCAAGTTGAAAACCGTTGCCCTAACCAAATCAAGGTTAGTGGAAATATAATATCTGATATCAGAGATCATTATTCTCAATTTTGCATAATCAAATCAGCTAAAGACAAGTTAAAAGTTAAACAAACTAAAATACGTGATTAGTTATCGGCTCAGAATTTTGTTAGAGATCTTTCTTACATACAATGGGATCAATGTCTTTCACATACTAATGTTGATAAGTCATTTTCTTGTTTCTACAATTGTCTTAACAGTTGTATTAATAAACATGCACCTATGAAATTAGTTTCTAAGCGTAAATGAAAGCAATTTGTCAAACCATGGATAACAAAGGGAATAAGGGCTTCCATTAAAATTAAAAACAAATTATGTGCATCTGGTAATGAAATTAAGTATAAACGTTACAGAAATAGCATATGTAGTCTAACGAGATTGAGTAAGAAGCAGTATTATTATGATTGATTATTTCAATACTCATGTAACAGATATGAAAAAGACTTGTGCAGGAATAAATCATATTCTCAACCGCAAGATTAAGAATAATAAGGAAATCTCAGGAATTAAAGATCATAACAATAATAATGAAATTGTTCGGGATCATTCATGTGTATCAAATGTTTTAAATCTCTAATGGCAAATCTCACGGGTTCTACTCTTGTCCTACTCAGTTATTAAAATATGCTCATAATATCATCAGTGGTGTATTATCTAAGATATTTAATATGTCGATCTCATATAGGTCGAGTATATCCGTCTAAACTAAAAATGGCTAAGATCATACCAATATTTAAACATGGAGATAGTCTTGATGCAAATAATTATAGACCCATTTCTTTATTTTCTAATTTTAATAAAATATTTGAAAAATTGATGTGTAAAAGAATGGAATCATTTATTGAGGCCAGTAATATATTGTCGTCTTCCCAATATGGCTTTCGTAAAGCACATTCAACTCAACATGCAGTGTTATAGATGGTAATTTATTCATAATTAGGTTATATATTGTGTAGACAATAGGTTGTTTTGGTCAGTAATAAATCTTGCTCGTCTAAGACACAAGTCAAAAGACTGAGTTTTATAACATGGTGTTAAAGCGAATTTTCGTAACCAATACTAGTTTAGTGGTCGAAAAATCATACCGTCTACGACTACAGCATGGAGAATGAAATGCTAGAAGTTGTTCAAGGCGAAATACCTCAAGTACAACCAACACAATTAGCTATGCTTCATCAAATATTACTGCCACAGCCTCTAGACTTGAGAAATAGTGGTGAAATCGCCGAAAATTGGAAACTATGGAAAGAGAAATACAGCAACTACTTTGTTATCTCGAGACTACAACAAGAAAGCGAACAATATCAGTTAGCGATGTTTAAACATGCAATTGGGGACGATGGCTTAAAGGTCATTAAAACATTCAGTTATGCAACAGAAGAGAATGTTAATGACTGGTGTGTGTTCATGAGCAAATTAGAAAAGCATTGCATTGGGGAAGTAAACGATATATACGAAAGATACTGTTTTAATAGACGTGATAAACTTCCAACTGAATCCGTGGACAATTTTGTCGCTGAGTTGAAAACCCTGGCAAAGACCTGCAATTTTTGTGAGTGCCTTCACAATAGTTTAATTCGTGACCATATTGCCCTGGGAATTAAGGATGAACAAACAACAAAGAAGCTACTATGAACAAGAGACCTCACCTTAAACAAATGCATAGACATATGTCGAAGTGAGGAAGTTACAGACATGCAGATGAAGTCTCTTGCAGAGCCCGAAGATATCAATCAACTCCAGTCGAAAGCAAAGATTAAGCCAAGAGTTTTCAAAGGAAAGAAAGGGTTACAATCTGGCAAGAAAGTTTCATGTAAATTTTGTGGCTACGAACACGCGCCAGACAAAAAGAAATGCCCGGCATGGGGAAAAACTTGTAATCGATGCAAAGAAAGAAACCATTTTGCTAAGAAATGCAAGAAAACCTCAGTTTACAGTATCGAGAGTGAAGACGAGTACGAGGAAATCAGCATGGTCAAAGTCCAAGCAGTGCGAGAAAAGGCTGTGTTCGTGAAAATGCACATCAATAACAAAGCTATAAAGTTTCAGATCGACTGTGGTGCAAGTGCTAATGTATTACCGCTCAAGTTTGCCAAAGATGTCGAGCTTACTCTGTGTACCAAGACACTTGTGATGTGGAATGGCACAAAGGTCAAACCCTTGGGATCTTGTACCCTACCGGTGATTAACCCAAAGAATGACGTAAAGTATCAAGTGAAATTTCTGGTCGTCGAAGAGAATTGGACACCGTTATTGGGTTTGAATGCGGGACAGAAGATGAAATTGCCAACAGTTCACAGTGAAAACTTTGTCAATGTCGTGGAGAAATGTGACAATGATCCTGTAAACAAGTATCCAGATGATTTTGATGAAAATCTTGGGACACTGTCCGGCAAGGTTCATCTGCAAGTAGATGCCACTTGCAAACCTGTGGTGTTACCCGCAAGGAAAATACCTGTGGCTGTTAGAGAAAAGTTCAAGAATGAACTGAAAAGATTAGAAGACTTAAAAGTCATAGCCCCTGTGGACAAACCAACGGAATGGGTTAGCCAAATCATCGTCGCCATGAAGAAATCAGGTTCGTTGCAGATTTGTATCGTCCAAAACCCTTGAAGCTGCTTTGAAGAGGGAACATTATCAAATCCCTGTGATTGATGATCTATTACCAGATCTGACAGATGCATGTGTGTGTGTTTACTGAAGTGGATCTAGCTTCAGCTTTCTGGCATCTCGAACTGGATGAAGAGTCCAGTGTCCTGACAACTTTTGCAACTCCTTATGGTCGCTTCAAATGGCTTTGTCTTCCATTTGGTCTTAATGTCTCGAGCGAGATATTCCAGAAGCGTCTAAATCAAGAGTCAGAAGGCCTTCCTGGCGTCAAGTGTATCGCTGACGATGTGTTGATTTATGGTACTAGTGAAGCTGATCATGACAAGAACTTAGCCAACTTTATGTGTACATGTCAACACAAGGGCATAAAGTTAAATCCCCAGAAGCTAGAATTCAAGTGCAAAGAAGTTCCATTTCATGGACATTTGCTGACCACCGAGGGATTGAAACCAGACCCAGAGAAAATTAGAGCAGTAAGAGAAATGCCGCGTCCAGAAAACCAAGAAGATGTGTTACGCCTAAATGGGATGGTAGCCTATCTTAGTCGTTTCCTGCCTCATTTGTCTGATGCGATGAAAGCCTTGCGAGATCTTACCCATAAAGATGTTGTGTGGAGTTGGAGTGATGCTCACGAGAAAGCACGGAATAACGTGAAGAAGCTTATCTCAGCTGCACCAGTCTTGGCATACTACCAACCTGCAGAACAATTGGAAATTCAATGTGATAGCAGCTAAAGTGGTCTTGGAGCCGCTTTGATTCAGAATGGACAGCCAATTGCGTATGCAAGCCGAGCTCTAACAGAAACGGAATCTCGTTATGCTCAAATAGAGATGTTAACTGTCGTTGTCGCAGTGGAAAAGTTCAGCGATTACACATTTGGTTGAAAGACAATTGTCCACTCAGATCACAAACCTCTTGAGTTGATTCTCAAGAAACCCTTACATCAAGCACCGAAGAGATTACAAGGAATGATTCTTCGCCTGCAGAAGTATAACATCGAAGTCCGGTACCAAAGTGGGAAAACAATGCTATTAGCAGACACCCTTTCCAGAGCCTATGTTCCAGAGACAACTGGTCAAGGAGAACCGGAGTTCGAAACCATCAACATGCTAAAGTATCTGCCTATATCAGAAGAGAGACTCCTGCAGATACAGCAAGAAACTGAGAATGATGAGTCTCTCCAGGTATTCAAGGCCGTAATCCAACAGGGCTGGCCTGAACAGAAATCTGCCCTACCAAATATCATCTCTCCATATTACAACATGAGAGATGAAATGTCCGTTCAAAATGGACTCATTTTCAAAGGAGAAAGAGTGGTAGTTCCACGAGCGATTAGAAGCGATCTGATGAAGAGAGTTCATAATGCGCATCTTGGTGTCAATGGATGTCTTAACAGAGCTCGAGAGTGTTTATACTGGCCTGGGATGTCCGGGGACATCAAGAATTTTCAGTGATCAAGAAATTGATCATTTTTCAAGGCATGGTATTCCTGAACAGCTAGTAACAGACAACGGTTCACAGTTTGTGTCATGTGATTTTGTCAAATTTGCAAAAGAGTGGGATTTTGAACATTTTACCAACAGTCCGCGTCATAGTCAAGCCAACGGAAAAGCGGAGAGTGCTGTGAAAGAGGCCAAAAAGATCATAATGAAGTGCAACAAAGCTGGCTCCGACAAATTCCTAGCTTTGTTGGATCACAGAAATATACCATCTGCAGCCGTCCAGATTAGTCCTGCACAGCGTTTGTTCAGTAGAACAACGAGAAATCTTTTACCTATGTCTACTGAATTACTCAAGCCAAGTATGGCAGATGATGATTTGACACACCTCAAATTGCGGATGCGTCAACAACAAGCAAGGTATTACAACAGAGGTGCGCGACACCTTCCACCTTTAGAAGAAGGCGACTCGATAAGAATCAAGCCCTGGAAACTTGGAAAGAAAGAATGGCAACCGGGATCGGTGAGAAAACGTTTGGATGAGAGATCCTACGAAGTGCAAACACCCTGCGGTATGGTATTCTGCGAAGAAACAGAGTTCATTTAAGAAGGTTCAATCTATCCTTAAACAACAATGATACACCTATTCAAAATCCAGTGACGAGACCGCCCAGAAAACATATTACCTCAACCCCAGTGAACTTACCTACAGTGGAGCTGAGTTTGCCATCAACCTCAACCACAACTCCTCCATCTCCAACAAATGAACAAGAAAGTAGCAGTTCTGGACACACCGAAGTTCGAAGATCTCAGCGTTTGCGCCGATTACCAACACATTTAAAGGATTTTGTTTTGAAATAGAGACTGTGATAAGGAACATTAGGACATGTTTAGATTTATTTAGATTTGAAAACTTGACTAGAAAACTTTGGAAAAAACCCTAAAAAGAAAACTTATCTATTTTTATAAAAGAAAGGATGTTATTGCTCGTCTAAGACACAAGTCAAAAGACTGAGTTTTATAACATGCAGTACTTTATCTTCTAAGTGTTATGCAAACAAATATGGATAAAAGCTTATTTTCATGTGGGATATTTATAGATCTCAAAAAAGCATTTGATACTGTGGATCATTCCATCCTGCTTAGCAAACTAAATTATTATGGTTTTCGAAGTATTGATTGATTGATTGATTTTAATTTTGCCAACAAAAATGAACTAATACATTAAAGTGCCTATGACACGAAATTTCACCCCAAATGTTTATGACTGCATTGTAAAGATCACTTAAAATGACATAATAATTTCTTTTATAGAATTTTGGTAACTTGCTTCCTTTGCAAGATATTCAACTTTGTTTCATATGCAAATATCACCGGTGTGACATCACATCGCATAATGACATTTTGAAAACGCAATACTTTACCTTGATAAAATATTTTTACAAACAAATACAGAGGGTTAATAATTAGCTGTTATGAAGTTAATACATACAAGGGCAATCTTTAAGTTTTTTAGATACGTATTCGTCAAGAAATCTATACTTTTCTGAAAACTCATTATGTGATGTGATGTCACACCGGTGATATTTGCATATGAAACAAAGTTGAATATCTTGAAAATGGAGCAAGTTACCAAAATTCTATAAAAGAAATGATTAAGTCATTTTAAGTGATGTTTACAATGCAACCATAAACCTTTGGGGTGAAATTTCGTGTCATAGGCACTTTAACAAAATAAAACAAGAAGACAGATAGTGGCGAGGAAACCCAAGTAGAAACCGGAAGGCTTATTGGGTTACCTCATCAATATAAATTCACTGACATGCAATTATGGTTACAAACTCATTAACAATTATAGTACGTTGATTAAAATAACAATGTTTACACATAAAGAAGACAAACAAGAGAACAGTACAATGCAACAATATAACAAACACAAGAACTGATTAACTATAAAGAGACAAAATATATTTATTAAGTTTAAGTTGAAATGCTGAGATTGAGGGTGAATCTCGAATTTCACTATTTAAAGAATTAAAAAATTTAGGGCCTTGGAATTTTACAGTAAATTGTTTGGCCTTCGTTCTACAAAATGGAACATAAAATTGGCCAGCAGTCCGTAAATTGTGAGAGTGGATTTGATCAGTGGTCGAGAAAAAATTGCTAAAACTTGGAGGAAGCAAATTTTTCTGGTAAGAAAACATGAACTTACCCAGATTAAGAAGATATATCTTCAACTTGGAGTTAAATAAAGGTGATGTATGTGCATCATAGGATGCGTTACTTAAGATTCTAACTACTTTTTTCTGTAGTAATAGTAGACGGTTGAGATTTGAGGGATACGTTGCTCCCCAAATGATAACACAATAGTTTAAATAGGGATATACGAGAGCAAAATACAAGGTGCGCAGGGTAAGACGGGTGAGACAGAAACTTGATCTATATATTATTCCAATGGACTTTGAAATTTTGCTAGCAACATGCGAAATATGAGATTTCCAAGTCAGACTTTCATCCAAAATTACTCCAAGGAAAGAAGTTTCCTTGACTCGTTCTAGCCTATGATTATTTATTTCAATTACTAGATCAAGTGTTTGCCTCCTTTGTCTAGGGGTGAAAATTTTATAATTAGATTTCTTAATGGTGAGCGACAGCTTATTAGCAAAAAACCATTCTGATAGATTTTTCATTTCACTATTAATGACAGTTGTTATCCTGGATAAATCACTATCGGAAAAAAACACATTTGTGTCATCAGCAAATAAAATCATTTCGGCTATGCTAGAAGAATTAGCTATATCATTAATATAAATCAAGAAGAACAAAGGTCCGACGATTGAGCCTTGAGGTACGCCACACTTAATTTTACTTAATGAAGAACAAGTACTGTTGAATTGAACATACTGTTGTCTATTAGCGAAATAACTTTTGATCCATTGAAGGGCCGATCCTCGAATACCATAATGTGCAAGTTTCTCAAAAAGTATCTCATGATCGACAGTATCAAAAGCCTTAGATAAATCAAGAAATATTCCAATAGTATACTTTTTTTCATCAAAAGCAGTTGTAATTTTATCCAATAAATGAATTAATGCAAGCGAGGTGGAATGGTTTTTTCTAAAGCCGTACTGATTATTCAACAAAATATTGTATTCGTTTAAATAATTTAATAGCCGGTCATACACGACCCTTTCCAGAATTTTAGAAAAGACCGGTAGAACCGATATTGGCCGGTAGTTGGAGAACAGATTATCCGCACCTGATTTAAAAATAGGTATAACTCGTGCTATTTTCATCTGATCAGGAACGATGCCAGATTGAATAGACAAATTGACAATATGGGTCAACGGCTCAGAAACCAAGTCAACAGAATCCTTGACAATTTCCATAGAAATATTATCATAGCCACCAGCAGTTCCTGATCGTAGAGAGCTAATTATTTCTGTGATTTCTGATTGGACTACTGTTTGAAAAAACAATGAGTTTACAAAATTTCCTGTCAAATAGGAACTAGGAATTTGGGATGAAGTTGGTATATTATTAGCTAAATTGGGGCCTATATTAGTGAAATAGTCACAAAAGCGATTGGCAATATTCAGTGGATTAACGATATTTTGGTTATTAGCAATGAACACCGATGGCAATGGCTTTTTACGGGTTTTTTTGTTTACAATTTCATTTAATGTTTTCCATGTTGTTTTAATGTTGGTTTTGGTAGACTCCAATCTCTCTTCATAATAAAGGCGTTTGGCTGAACGCAATAAATGATTAAGCTTATTTTTGTATTTTTTATACAGGTTTTCATTTTTTATACAGGTTTTCATAAGAGGAAGTTGGAATACGTAAAAATTTCTTATATAATTTGTTTTTCTTCCTAATCGATGTTAAAAGACCGCCAGATATCCAGGGCTTGTTAGATTTGAACTTCGCTGCCTTTACTCTTCTCAAAGGAAAAGAAGTATTATATATATTCGTAAAGTTTTTATGGAAAGTAGCATATGCACAATTAGGATCGTCATATCCCTCAAGATCAGTCCATTTAAAATTTTTTAGCTGATCTTGAAATTTTAGCAAATTAGCCTTATTCTTATCCCTAAAGGTCACGTATGTATCACTAGCATCTTGTAATGATTGGTCATAAAAAAAGGAAAAAATTGGTAAATGGTCGGAGATATCGGTAAACAATAAACCACTGAAGGAATAAGTGTCTAAATTATTTGTAAATATATTATCAATTTATGTCGCTGTGTTAGATGTTATACGCGTGGGCCGGGTTATCAAAGGAAAACACATATTAGAGTACATAATATCAAGAAATTCACCGGTAAATTGATGGGTATGGTAAAAAAGTAAATTAAAATTAAAATCACCCATTAAATAACACGATTTGTTTTCTTTGGAAATTGCGGAAATTAATTTGTTAGTATTATAAACAAATTCATCAATTCTATGGTCAGGAGGCCTATATATTATTCCAACAACAATGTTTTTCCCTTTGGGTTGATAAATTTCAATAAACAATGCTTCTGTGCAAGGTGTATTGTCATATATGAGGTCCGAACGTAAAGTGAATTCAAGGTGATCTGCCAGGTACAAGCCGACACCACCTCCTGCTTTGCTGGTTCGATAATTATGAACAAAATTATACCCATCAATACACACATTGTGTTCTTCTTGGCGAAGCCAAGTTTCAGTTATGCCTATCACAGAAAAGCGGTGTTCGACAGTGGTCAGCAAATTTAACAAATTGTCAAAGTTTCATTGTAGGCTTCTAATATTTAGATGAAAAAGCGAAAAACAATTATTCGGCATCATATTGGACAGGAAGTTATTTAGTTTTAGCTCCGTATAGTAATCACAACTTTGAGATACTTTTGAATAAAAATTCGAATCAGCATCTAAATCAGAACATAAACCAACCGTACTGTTGTAATCATATAGCAGCGGGTTAAAAACCAAGCATGATAATCTATCCTCATCAAATCGTACAGAGCCATTTGCGAATTCATATAACACAAGCTCAAATTCGTCATCATCAAGATGACTAAAGGGCAAAGCATGCATTTCAGACATATTGACAAAAGGACATATAAACATTCAAATACAGATAATAAATATACACAAACTTAATGTTCATTGACTTTGGCTTCAAAATCTTCGAATTCTTTCAAAGAAGAAAATGACAGAACTTCAGATGAAGGAGTGGCTTCTTTCTTCAACAGGATCTTGCCGTACTTTGTCCAAACAAACTTGTAGTGATGGTCCCGTTTGAAGGCTTTAACGGCTCTGAGCAAAGCTCTGGATTGTTGAGTGAGGCTTTCGTTAATAAAAAGTTGTGATTCCAGATGATATCCAAGGTGTAATGCAGTCTTTGAAGATAGACCACGTCTCCTTTTGTATATCTTGTCTCTCATATCTCTTCTGACAAATTTTACAATTATGGGCGGTATTTGACCTTGATGGGAAGGCAAACGATGACTAATAGAAATTTCACTTTGCTCGAAGGTCATTAATGGGTCGGCAAGTTCGACAACTTTCTGTACGATTAAATTGGTATTTTCTCCCTCCGTTATGGGCACTCCATGGATCTCCAGCATATCCCTTCGAATATATTGCTTTAGTTGTTCAACTTCGCCTTCCGAGACGAGAACGCTTTTCTCTAAACGCTTCACTTGTTCGCTCAGTTGCGTGTTGCTCGAGCGTAGGTTGTCATTTTCAAGATGAAGCTCTTTAACCTCTTTTACCAGGTCATCAAATTTGCCGCCCAAGAACTCCTGACTTTTCTTAATTTCGTCCAAATCAGCCTTGGCCGACTTAGAAAATTTTAGAAAAAGCTCATTCAGCTGATCGGTTTGCTGCTTGAGGCGATCATCGAGGAAAGCTTCCAAGCTTGACTTGTTATTGCATGGCGACATATTGTCTTCGCCCATATTTTCTGCTTCAGAATCATCAGCAAGTTTTGTTTTCGTATATTTCTTTTTTGGTGGCATTCTGTTGTACAAGTTATAAGGCCAGTGATAGATAGAAATAGGCCAGAAGTATATCTTTAGTATCATAAACCAATGGTTTTCATCTTATTTACAAGGTAGAACCAATCAACTCAAATCGGCTATCATGTTTCCAATACAATGAAAGTTAGTCACGGTGTACCTCAAGGATCAGTTCTGGGTCCATTGTTTTTACTTTATATAAATGATATTCAGAGTTGTTCTGATAAATTTAGTTTTTATTTGTTTACTGATGACACAAATCTGCTTTATGCGATAAAAATCTTAAAAAGATTGAACAAATTGTAAATGCTGAATTGCAAAATTTAAATATTTGGCTTGTTGCAAACAGATTGACTCTTAATGTGGAAAAGACAAATTTCATCATATTTCGCCCTTATCAAAAGAAAATTTGCAATCTACCTAAATTAATTATATTTGATTATGTTCAAAACAAACATGTATCTTTAGAATATAAAGAGTATACCAAATTTCTTGGGATTTTAATTGGCAGTAACTTATCATGGAAACATCATATAGATCATATTGCTAATAAAATTAGTAAAGTGGTCGGCAGGGCTGCATAATATGGCGGACCGCGGGACCATTGGTCCCAGAAAATTTTTGAGGTTGGCAGAAAAAATTTTTTGGTTAAGTTATAAAAGGTTAAAAGTTTCACAGAAAAAATTTAAAAAGGGCAGACAGATAATAGGAAAACACTTTAAACAGAAACATAAAAACATACACATAAAGTGATAAAGTATATAATTATAGCAGTTGCCAAATGGCGGCCCAGTATATCAACTCAGTGCTTCAAGCAGCATGGATGATGTAAGTGACATGATTATTGTTGAACTCAAGCAAGCAGCAGTGAACCACCTGAGCAGATATTAAAATTATATCAGTAATGAGCCATTCCATTTAATATACGCACCCCACCCCCTATTAGGGTATAAATATTTTAGAACCCCCTTGGATGTGATATTTGGAAGTTACCCCATGGACATCTTTATACTCCCTCTAGGATATCCCTTGGATATCAGTACAACACCTAATTTTGCTATTTTTTTGAAAATTTCTTAAGCTCCCCACTAGGAAATTTTAAGATAAAAACCACCCTCCCCCCATAGGATTTCCAGACCCCTCAATAGGGGGGAGGTGCCTATATTAAATGGAATGGCCCAATATTATAGTAAGGCAAAATCATCTATCAGTCTATGCCCTTGTTTTGATACATTTAATCAAGTTCATCTAGTGTATAATTAGCACGTTAGTCTGATTAATTGAAATGTCAAATGACAGGCATGATACTTCCCATTTAATATAATGCATATAATATAAGGCTTATTCATTACATCTATTAAAAACGTACCTGGACAGTGGACACTGTACAGTCCCATTCTTGCGAAAATAATATAAAATAAAATACAATAAGCAACTTTGACTGTAAAAGTGAGTGTATTTTAATTCCATGTTATCCTGATGACTAATCTACAGTTGAAACGTTGATATATATTTATAATCAAAATGCAAATATTCGGAGTTCCATTATTTATTTACTTTGTACCATCATACGCCTGGTCACATGGAATCATAACAAAGGCAAATTCGTCAAATTTATAGCTTCCACTTTTGGATCTCAACTTCCAATGTTTTTAAAAATTTGTGTGGGCCAATGGGCTTTAATAAAATCATAATGCACTCTTGATAACGTCTTCTTTGCTAATTATGGTCATAAAAAGTCGTATATCGTCAGCTATATCTACCATCGTCAATAAACTTGAAACTTCCTGGTTTTTTCCTTCTTTTTCTATTTCCTTCTTATTTCCTTCAAATTGTAGAAACTTCCTTTAAAAGGAAAAATTCCTTCCAAGTGGAAACCCTGAATTTGAGATTTATATCGCGAAAAATTTAAATTACTGAGCAATAATTGAGCATGGAAAAGCGTACCAATATAAAAAAAAAGACGAAATGTAATAGCGAAAAGCGGGTTTTAACATGTCGAGTTGTAGATTGTAGACAAGAATTACTCGCCAAAAATTATCGGCAACACTTATTATCTCGCCATCCTGCAGAAAATTCACAAGACCTGTTTGCTTTCGGGCAATCAAAACTATCTTTCTTCTCTTATTGTTCTGTTAATGTCGACAAAAGAGATGTGGAGAAGTTGAACTGATAGATCAACCTATTGAGAAAGCTTCAAAATCTCGGCACGATGTCAATGTTACAGGATCAGTGTATATTAACACCGAAGATGACGTCAAAAAAGTTGAGGAATCGGATAACCAGAAACTTGATATCATTATGACTGACCTTCAAGAAGTTAAAAAGAATTTATTACTATTGGTGACAGCTCAAGGAGTGAGTTCCAAAGGCGAAGATACTATAGAAACCAAAGCGGTGCAACTGCAACAAAATGACGAGAGATTTGATGAAGAGATGGATACTTTGCTTGCAAAAGTTACATTGGCGAGATCTATAGCTGAAATTGAACAAACTGGGTTTGTCTACGATTCTAACAAAAACGAACTGCGTTGTTCAGTTTGTGCAATTCCCCAAGCAAGGCAACCAGCCGCGGAAGATTTAGCATCTATGCAGACTGGTTCATTAACAGGGATTTTTGCATATGAACAGAAAACTGGCCTGCTATTTTCGGAAGACGAAAATCTTCCTGAAGAGTTCAGAAATCTAAAAAAAACATTTAAAAAGACACATCAAAAAATCTAAAAAAACACCTTTCAAACGTAATGGAAGAGATAGAGAAGAAACAACAAGCTGTCAAAAGGAAAGGGAACAATTATGAAGCTGGGATGAATTTAGGTCGGGCCTGCATGAAACTATTTTTAAAAGGTCGTCCATACACAGATTATGAACACGATGTTTTTAATTTAAAACAAGCCAAAGCCAAAATAGGCCATCTTAATCACTCTGAACACTTCCCAGCTTTATTTAGACCACATGTTCATATGGTCGTCAAGAGAAAACTCAAGTCGTTTCTAAATAAAAAACTCGAACAGACTGGTCATATGCCACCTTTAGCGTTATCTGCAGACAAGGCAACATATAAGCACCGTTCAATGCAATTTCTTAGTGGTGTCACTATTAGTCCCGGTGCTGAAAACCTTCTTGCGTTAGTCAGTTTTGGGCAACCAGTGGTTAAGGATGGTAGTGGTGGTCCAGCTCTTGCACAAGAAATGAAAAAGGGTTTGGATAAATTTGATGTGGTCAGTTGTCAAATTGAAAGTGCCGTTTTCAACGGTGTATATTTCCACTGCAGCATTGAGAAGCATTTTAACAGCTTATACGGATTACAAGATGGTGACATTCTTTATAGTCATGATGCGCTGCACAAGAGTGGGCTTGTCGACACCCACATGGCCAAAAAACCACAATTTGCATGGGTCGCTGATATCAGGCCTTAAAATATCTTTTCCAGGGCCGTCTGACAAAATGTCCGGTGATGTTGTGTTTGGGTCGGACATATGTCCGATGACCTTCAGTTCAGTTTTGGCTCGGAAATAAGTCTGAATGACACAAATGAATAAACGGTAAATGTTGTAAAGATAT